TAATGTAGGACATGTTTTTTCCCTTAATTGAAGATTAGTTTTCAGCACTAAAATGACTATAACAATGTACATGTTTACGCTTTTATGAATGCATGAATTTAAAGGGGCTTTTTATATCTTTTTCTTTTGCACGAAAAGTGTTTATTTGTTTTGTTTGTTGAATATATATCTCAAAATACATATATTTCTATATTTCAAATTTTAAGTTTTGATATTATCAAAACGGGGAGATTGTTAGAACATAGTTCATATAATATCTCTTGTTTGAGTAATAACAAACTCTTACTTGTTACTGATAATTGTTTGAGATGATATATTTCAGGTATCAACATGTATACAAAATACATGTGGCAAAATAATGCAAAAATTAACATTCATGTTAACTTAAGCCATCACACCTTCAATGGTCACAAGCATACCATCGATGGTCATTAGTCAATTGATAGATTATAGCACAGAATAGGAGAAAAATAGAAATAAGAATCACACCATTGATGGTCTACAGGGAACAATCGATGATCAGCTATACCATTGATGGACTACAGTGCACATTTGATAATTTTTAGAAATCAAAATTTAGCCTATCGATGGTTTATGGTGTAACTATCGATGGTGCATAGGGGAATATCAATGGCCGGTATTGCCCATCGATGCGGACAACACGTTTTTGCAAATTTTGTGGTTTAATCTCAATCGTTCATTGGCCTCTTTTCATCTCCAAACTTCTACTATGACTCATATATTTCTTTCCTTTATTATCAAATGCTACATATATAAAATAGGAAGAGGTCATATTTTAGAGAGGTTAATGCATTGAGAAAAAAAAGAGATTTATTGTAGAATTTGTGTGAATAGTTGATTTGTGATTGAATCCCTAGAGCATCGTCAAACTCTTTCTCATTGGCTAAGTATCTTCGGATCGTTTCAACGATAAGAGTTGCCATTAGATTCAACATCATCACGTCTTCTTCATTGAGCTTCACTTCAAGTCTTTTGAAGAACAGTTTGCTTTTAAAAAGGGCTGTCAAATCTTTTTAATTTGCACTTAAATTATTTGTTTTATCTTATTTTTACGACGTACTTAAGCCAATAATAATTGAGGATTGGGACTAAATAGAGCTATGTGTTACTTATCTGTAAGGGGTTAAGTCAGACGACTGGTTTCAGTTAAACTATAATTTTAAGTGCGGTCTTTGTACGCCTATTGAATCAAGGGTTAACTAAGAAAGTACCTTTATAAGAAGGAATAGTGGATATAAATCATCGCCCCAGCCATTGAATCAAGCCAAAATTAATTAATATATTAATTAATGAAAGTAAAACAAAAAATAATATAAAACAAAACGTAGGCACATGGGAACGGCCTCCAATGGAAGAGAGTTGATAATTACACGCCTTGTTGACCTAGTATTGATTATCTTATATATTGTACCAACCAAGTACATAATTCTAAATATTTATGATTGGCAAAGGTTTTATTTGTGCATGTTCTTATTTCTGTAACCAGCTGTTGTGTTTTGTGGGCTCTAATTTGTGTGGAAAAAGCCTAGAAGTCTCTGTCACTCTGTCTTTCCGTCTCTCTCTCTCCATATCTCATGTCATCTCATATATATAAGAGCATCGCTAGATCATTTTCTTCCACTGTATACGGAGGTAGCTAGTTTGAGTGATTGTGAATAAATTAAGCGGCTGCAGTAAATCCTCAGGTAAGCATTTATTATTTAGGACAAAAATCTTCTCATGAATTTTTTTGAGATCTTAGTGCCTCCTTAAGTTAATTTTCTTTTTCTTTTTCTTTTTTAAAGATGAATACATTTCAGTTGTTTGAATACATGATTTTGGGTTTGTTTATCCAACTATGTACTATATTTTTATAAATGGCCTGTTGAATTTTTCTGGGTGATTCTTTGTGATAGAGGTTATTGATGGAGGCTCATGAGGAATGACTAACTTTCCATCCGTAGTTTTACTCAGCAAAATATATTCATGAATTTGACGGAAAAATCTTAGAGGATTATGATTCCCATGTGGGCTGTTGTAAATGATGCATAATTATATTCTAAATCTAACACTTCTATTCAGTGACAGATCCATGATTTTTTATCAATTATAGTTGGTTTTATTATAACTATAAACTATAAAATTTAATTTGTAGACCTGACAAATTAACAATACACTATAAATTACATTGAAATTTATTTTAAACCATTATAAAGAAGAAACCAAGCAATATAAGATAATCTAAAGAAAAGATTCTAACTTTACTAAACCAATATCCAAATTTTGTTTTTCAGATTAAGCCTTAGCCACAAAAGCAATTATGTAAAAATTCGAATATATAAAAATTCCTTAAAAAAGGAAATAAAAATTTCTAATTAATAGGAAAATATTGTTTTTGTTTCGGATTTAGGAAGGCACTGCAAAAAATTGAACTTGATGTGATTAATTGAATTTGGTTTGAGTTGTTTGGATTATTAGATATAGGTTTCTCATAGAGCTTATTGGATATAAGCTTTTTAGGCCCATATATTTAAACTCATAACTATATTTACTTACAACTAGTCTTATCTTTTGTGTATATTTCACAGTTCGTATTAGTATTTTTTCCTCTTTTTTGTTCAATAAACGTAGGTATGACATACCAAATGTGGGTTTAAAATGGTTTGAGATTAGCTTTTCCCTTGGTTTAATCTGATATCATTTTAATCATTGGGAACATTAAGTTATAAAGATGATTATGTTGATTCTTGAACACTGAGGCCTGGTCTATGATAAATGAAGAGATTTGAACAGGGGAGGTTCAAGATTCAAGATGCGAGATCAAAAAAGTGCAGTCTTGTTAATAATTAAAATAAGAAAAATATCATACGTCATAAGTCCATAAATAGATTACATGCATAATTCTTCATAGGCTTAGAAAATTCCATCAATAACAGGCTTGTAGACTGTTATTGTTGTTTAAGAAAGGGAGTTTGATTGTTGTAAACGGATAAAAAAGATACTATTTTAATATGAATTATAAAGGTATTGGAATGAATAATCCGCGAATATCTCAATATACGAACATTAAAGAAATTATTCTTTTCTTATATCTTGTATATTAAATTCCAATACCATTAAGTTGATGCCCCAGTGATAGACAAGCTGGTCCCTGACGACTCCTACCTATTGGCAACAGCTAGAAAGTTGGAAGCGGCACTTGTTGAGAATGGTAGCCACAATCCTCGAGTAGGATTAGTTCAATCTTCAATGTTGGGTAGGGACACTTGTGGTTAAAGACCAAAAAAAAAAATATTAAATTCCAATAAAAAGAGTTACAGATAGACCCTTGTACTATCGCTCACTTTCGGATAAACTCTTTCTCGTTCTATCGTTGCGGATAGACCCCTAGGTGAAAATACTTACTATTTTACTCTTTAGAGAAAGAAAAATTTGTTTCCTAATAAATAGACCTCCTAAGAAAGGATAAATTCGAGAAGACGGCACTTAACATCCCTCAACTCATCTATCAATACTTATGGAGCTGATATTTTGAGAAGGATAAATTTTAGGTAAGTATAAAATAGTTGAGGGAATGATAAGTTTCATTGAATATATAAATGAGAGGAAGTATCTTTAAATCTGCAGTTCAGGGAACAATTAATGTTGCAGGTGTTACAGTTATGAGTTGGATGGGGTCAATTAGTAAACAACATAATGAATCTAGTTAGGACATGACAAGTCCGCGCCCACATAAAATAATATAAATCTCCATCACAATCTATGTCTTATAAAGGAGCTGGCAGATTTCTGCTTGAGCACAAACACATGGTGATCTGGCTTACCTAATATATTTATTATTTTTTAAACTAAAAATTGATTGATTAGTCCTAAATGGCTCATTAACATGAGTTTAATGGACCACGAAAGTCCTACAACGACTACTATTAAAGCTTTTCATCTACACACAAGTCCAAATATTCCCGTTCTTTAGGAAATATTCTATACGTCCTTCACCAGCTGTGTATTTTTCTAAAGGATGCAAGATTCTTGAACCTGTCATTAATTAATTTCAGTGTGGAAACCTATTAAGAAATTTTACAATAAACTATTATCTATTAACTTTCTTAGTGATGGCCATGTGAGTTGCAAGTGATATTTTATTAAGAAATGTTTTTTCTTAGTTTCATGAGAAAACCATGATAATGTAAAATGTTTCTTCTTTTTAATTTATCGATAGTTAAAATTAATTAGTACATATTACATAAATGTTGTAACTTTAGTCAAAATTCGTGAACTGTAGAGCCTAGCTAGTCAAAACCTAACGCAACGCCAAGCACTGTACTGGGCACTCCCGCTTTTTGTCTCTAAAAGCTGTTGATTACCTTTCATTACCATCACAGTTGTTAGGCCACTATATATTGACACGCAACAATATTTTTGGATTCATTTTAACTTCTCATTTTATTGTCTTTTCTCAAACATTTTCATTTTAATGTCAGACATCCCCTTCGCTTTCATAGAGTCATAGTCATCTTCATCTTCCATCCTCAAAGACGTTCACTTGAGCATTCCGTTTGTCAAAAGAGTTGAGGGTTTGAGGTTGGTAAGTACTGTTTCTCTTCTTCGATTAATAATTTCATACTTTTTTTCAATGGGTATTTTTCATATTTTCTAAACTTGGGTACTTCATATTTCCTATGTTTCCCCCCTCTTTAACATAGGATATATAACGTTTTCCAATGCAACATATTTGGAAATATACACTTTAGTAGTCAGCAAATTTGCGCGCATGGGTATCATAGGAAATAATGTTTGTTTCATGTATACTTGACATTAGCAAATTTGTGCATACGGGTCATTAAATTATTATGATGCCATTTATATATCTCTACCATTTTAGTGATCACCAGACAGAAAAAGAAAGAAAATATTTGTGGCAGAAATTAACACTAATGGCCTGATATTGTAATTATGTCCATATTAGGTTGATAGAGATTTTGACCAACTTGTTCTTTTTATAGTTATATATCCAATGCTCCAACTGTTATGGATAAAAAGAAATAAAAGTTGAATACAAACAATTAAGAAAAAGTCTTTTAATGCAGTTGTTGTGGGTCTTGTTTTTAGCGTTTCTTTTTCTTTTTCTCCTTATTTTCTAGGATGAGAATAATAGAGCTTCTATTTTCTTTTCTTTGTTTATTGTGGCTGAGATCTTTCTTTATACTGATGTGTCCTGTTATTTTGGCTAGTTTCTCCTACCCCATTTGATAAAAGGAAAGATTCTTCTTGAAATTATTTAGATGCACATGCTCTGTTCCCATAGGCTATCTCCTTGAATATTCTTCTTTTAATTTGAATATATCTGAGATTTCTTTCTTATATATACCCAGAGCAATTCAAGTTTTATATCTTTCTCCCAAGTTTAGTGCTTTATAATTTTCATCAGGTAAGTTTCTCTAATCTAGCCTCCTCCTTTGTTTTAAAGCCTTTCTAGATCATAGATTGTACTAGTTATAAGGTTTCAAAGTAGTTGCATTCTTATTTGATGTTGTATTAGAATGCGATTAGGTTCTTAGCATAAGCTTTTGATCAAATTTTGTTCTTTGAACCCAAATATTTTCTGCTAGTATTGCTGTATTACAAGTTTTGGTTCTTTATTCTATTAGAATAAACATCATCCGTGCTTTTTATTGCAGTTGAGCCCTAATGGAGAGCAATAATGAACGAGGATCTCCTGAGCAACTTCCAACCCTTTTCAAGCAAATATCGTCTGAAGTAGTTTTCGGTTTCGACACCATCCCAAGTCCTCGGCCAGATTCTGCGGTTGATGTGAGTTGTAATCTTATGATACTGTTTTCAATTTATAAGATTCCATTATCACAATACTAAACCACTCCAGATTATCATAACGTTGCCAAATTTAGCATATGTTTACCATCACATGATTCTGATGAAAGCAAACAGATGTGCATATTAAGCATGATTCTAATTGAAGTACTTTGATTGCTTTTCTCTCGGACCAATTTTTAAATACCTTTAGGGCAATGCAAGATGATCTTACATGTGACGAGTTTTAACAGAACAGATATATATTGAGGAAAAAGGACGGAATAAGATAGATTTACAGAGATATTTTGTTTCATAAAGCTAATAATTTGATAAGAGAATGAAATCATTACAAAGATCTTGATGTTGCATTCATTGGTATGAATGAAACAATGTTAATTTCATGCAATTTAAGAGATGACAAAGGTTGACATTATTACTAGTGAAAAAAAGAAGAAGATAAATGATTAAAATCACTATCTGTAGTACTAAAGGTCATATCTTTAATCGGAGTAGAAATTGAGTGTCTTGCTAAAAAAAAATGAAAAGAGTGAGAAAATAAAGATACATATGACATCGATTTCCTAACCTTGGCATTTAAGGTTATGTTACAAAATCATATGCTTGTTTATTTATGTTCTAGTATGAAAATAGAGCGTGAATTAAGATATTAATAACTTTATCTTTCATTTCAGGTATCCGAAGCTGCAAGTATCAAGAACGAAGCCAATGATACTATCACTATTCCACCAATTTCCCCCTTCCAATCTTCTGATCATGGCAGGAATCACTCTATTTCAATCAGCATGCCAAGCTCTCCTACTTCTCTCAACATTGAAGAAACCAAAAGTAAAAGTGTCCGATTACTCGAAGGTCCTGTAATAAATGGAAATGTTGAGCAACCAAGTACTTATTCAAGCCCTCTTCCCCCAAAAAAGTCTCGGTTTTATTCTCAACCGATGCAATCGGGGCTTTCCCAGACAAACACAGTAGCAGTTGATAAGAATCAATATACTCCTCGGACAATATTGAGGAGTAATGCGATGAAGGACAAACGTTTTGATTCTTTTAAGACCTGGTCTGGTAAACTAGAGAGGCAAATTTCGACTTTACGTGGAAAGCCGTTGACTCCTGATGCTGCTGAGACTTCGGAAATTACTCAAGCTGAAGATCTTCCTGCAGTTCATCGATACTTTGATGCGTTAGAGGGGCCAGAGTTAGAAACTCTCAAGGTATGAAATCTCTTGGTTACACATTGGTTTTGTTGCCTGTCAATATATTCCTGGTTCATGTTTACCAACTGTCATTGAGACCAGAACTTTTTATGTCTGTTTAGAGTACAACATTACAAATTTATAACCTCAATCCTCACCATAACGTTGAAGTTTGATGTGTTAAAAGATGATATCAGAACAACACACGTGCAAATCCAATTACGCACACATTCAAAATATATTCTAGAGAGCAATACAACGGTTATATAGATATTAGTCCCTCAACTGTTCAATACTTCCACGTTAGTCCCTCAAATCTTTGAAACTGCTCTTATGCTCCTCAACTCATAAAGGGTGTTGCAACATTTCAGACCTCTACGACCAAAATCCCCCCTTAGTTTTATGTTCCCCCTCCAACCCATTCATGCTCAACCGGAAAAAAGAGGTTGAGGGGGTGTTTTGTTCATTGAGGGACCAAATTGCAAGACGCATTAGAATTTGAGCAACCTATGAGCAATTCCAATGATTTAAAGGACAAATAACTAAATAACCCTGGAGAAAAAAATGTATTGCTAGCTGAAATATCCAGGTTTTGGTCTATGAAAAGTTGCTGAACCTGCAGGTCACGTACAACATAGTATAAAAATTATATTCCCTTTCTCGATTCTCATCACTTATTTGGTGTTTGCATATTGTACTAGAACAAACTTCAAGCATATATCGATTATGTTTCACTGAAGTTTTACCTGTTAAATTATTAATTTCTATCTATCTATTTTTTTTTCCAGTCATCAGAAGAACTGGTTCTTCCTGGAGACAAGACATGGCCGTTCCTCCTCCGATTCCCGATCTCATCCTTCGGTATGTGCCTCGGTGTCAGTAGCCAAGCAATCCTATGGAAAAACTTAGCAACGTCGCCCTCCATGAAGTTTCTGCATGTAAGCCTGGACGTCAATTTGGTCCTTTGGTGCGTCGCGACCGCTCTAATATGTGTCATCGCCTCAATCTACGCCCTCAAAATCATCTTCTACTTCGAAGCGGTTAGAAGAGAATACTACCACCCGGTTCGTGTCAACTTCTTCTTCGCTCCGTGGATCACTTGTCTATTTCTAGTAATTGGAGTACCGCCAAAAGTCGCGGTTAACCTACATTCAGCTGTATGGTACGTGTTGATGGCGCCAATATTTATCCTTGAGCTGAAAATTTACGGACAGTGGATGTCTGGCGGTCAAAGGAGGCTATCGAAAGTGGCTAATCCAACAAACCATTTGTCGATTGTTGGTAATTTTGTGGGGGCTCTGCTTGGGGCAACGATGGGGCTTAAAGAGGGACCGATATTTTTCTATGCGGTTGGTTTGGCTCATTATGCCGTGTTGTTTGTGACCTTGTATCAGAGATTACCCACGAATGAGACGCTACCGAAAGAGCTTCATCCGGTGTTTTTCCTGTTTGTGGCGGCCCCTAGCGTTGCTTCCATGGCGTGGGCGAAGATTAGCGGAGGGTTTGCTTATGGGTCAAGGATCGCTTATTTTATCGCCTTGTTTCTTTATTTTTCTCTGGTGAGTTTCCGTACATCCCTTTAGGATTGTTATATATATTTGAGTTTCTATAATTTCTATGTGAAGTATCTTCGCTTCTGTATTTACGAGCGATATTGAAAAGTTTAGGTATCTAGATATTTTTATTTTTATTTTTTGAGAAATCTAGAAGTTGGCTGTAGCCTGTAGGAGTCAACTAATAACTCCATCGATGCGGTGCAATAATGTTTTTACTAGTCAATAAAAAAAAAAGGGTTAATCGCAGATGGACCCCTGTAGTATCGTTGTTTTGAACATAGTACGTACCTAGCGGATAAGAGTCCACGGCCACCACGGGTGATAGTTTTTACTCTTTTACCCTGAAAAAAAAGAGAGGTTATTTTATTGTTATGACAAATATTAGGCCCCGGGTAAAAGAGTTGATAAAATTCACCCGGGTTGTACGTCTAAACAAATAAAACTTGAGAGGTAGTAAGTTCAAAACAATGATACTGCAGGGGGGTCTATAAAATTAACCCATATTATATTTGGTGTACTCAAATTATACAAAGAAGCTTCATATTATATTTCTCATACAATTTACATGTCTAACAATTGTTCTACATTTTCTTGTATAATTGCAGGCAGTTCGGATCAATTTCTTTCGAGGATTCAAGTAAATATCCTAAACCACTCCCTGATTCAAAATAATACAATTATTC